CTATTGCCATGCTTTGAGTGGACCATAGGCCTCAAAGCACTGTAGAAGGTGATAATTGTGGCACCTGGTGGACTTCTTTCCCCTGTAAAGATCTGAGGAACATGTATATGTTTGCATGTTTAACCTATACTATAAAGAAGATTTATTGCCTTTAATCTGTACAATCAACCCTACAATTATGGATTGTAATCTATGCATCAAGGAAATGGTCTTGCTTGAAAATTTTAAGCTTTTCTCTGCAACCTGTCAAGGTAACATCAAAATGATTAAATAACTAGATATGCTTTTTTTATTTTATTAAGTCTGAAAAATGTTAAGTGTAAAAAAAAATTGAGAATTAAGCCAGTCAGCCCTAGGAAACAATGCAAAATCATATTTTAGGGATATAGAGCAATTCCTAACAGTCACTATAATAATTTTTTCTCAGGTAAAGAAAATTGAACAAATTTAAAATACATATATTAGCTTTTACTTTATGTGCAATTATTATTTCTTTTTATGCCATAAATTCTCTTTTGCTATTTTTAGCAACAAACAAACAACATTGTTTTTAAATGAGGATCCACAAAATTCTATACTTATTGAGATATATAAAAAATCAGTTTAGCTTACTGGAAGGGTATAATGGTGTTTAATATACTTTTCTCTTCACAATTAAATTAGATGTATTCTTTTTAGGGGAGAAAAACTCATAAAGGAAACAGCCTTGGAGATGTAATATGCTCTAACATATTTAAGTAATTAGACTTCTGTCTCATTGAAATGTGCTCTAGGTTTGATAGTGATAAAAGCATGAATATTAGTATGATTAGGAAATTATATCATGTCACAGCATAATTGATTGATTGATAGCTGAATGAAAACTAACCATAAAGCATGTGAAAATAAATGTGTGTTCTGCAGTTATTCAGGCCGAATTTTTTCATCTACCCAGTTATAAGATTAGTAACTGAAATGCTCATCTTCCAAACAAATGGAATTGATATTTCTTTCTTTTGCTTGTGTCTGTGTATGCTTTCATTATAATGCTGGCAGGGGAAAGAATAAGAGGATTTGAAGTGCTTAGTGCTCAATTCAGTATTTAATTGTTCTTCAAGACTTGTCAGATGGACCCCACATTACTAATTGACTCTGTGAGCAATTAGTGTTTTGGAATTTACCTTTGTGAACTTCAAGTTTTAAATGTAAAGCCCCACTAACATAAGAGTTAATACTCTCTTGTCTCTGGAGAACTGAATTTCCCAAACATTTAAATTATCATTAATTTTTAAAAAGCAGTTTGCCTTTTTTCTGCTTGTGTTTTCACTTTCTCATTCTCTGTCTTGATCTTTTAAAGATTCCTGCTCACACAAGTCTTTGGCGACACTCACACTAGCGTAGAAGGGCTGGAGAGAAGCAAGACCACTGCAGGATTCCGTTTCAAAGCTGAACCAATATTCACCATTGACATATCCATTCATCTGTGCAGGGTCATTGGAAATCCTCTCTCTCTAGTTTTTCCTTCCCTTCAGGGAGCAATGCTTAAAAGAGCAAACCCCTGGTGTGAAGAGATAGGAGAATTCTCAGCACGGCCAATGGTGCCAGGAATCGAATTAAAGTTGTCCATTTGCAGATGACTGTCTATTGGAGCTCCCAGCACACAGAGGCACTGTGCTTTCTGTTGATGCTTTGTTTACTTGAAATTCTGTCAGTGGCACTTCAATTTAATTTTTTTTTTTTATGGCAAAAGTCATATCATGCCCAAAATATGCCAGGAGACTAAAAATACTAGGAGATGATATTGGTCTATGGAACCAATGCATTTTATTTGATTCCCAAGACTTGTTTAAGGAAAAATAAAAATTTTAAAGCTTTATGTGCATGTGAAAGAGAGGACTGTGCTTCACATTCTAATAGCCAAAAAAAAAAAAGTTAAATAATTGCTGAATTCACTCCTCTTTTGAGGAGTTTAAAACTTGTCATTTATTCTGCAATTGTTGACATTCCCAGATCTATTTTGGCATAAATCACATTTTGCTATGACTGAACCTACAATTTTGTCTATCTTCACATGCATTATCTCTTCTAAGTGAGAGACACTAAGGAGACATGAGGTGCCATTAAATCTTAGAAGCCAGAAGTCAACACTGAGTATGTTTTCTCCAATTTGATTTATTTTGCTATCATAGAAGATGCTGCTGTGGTTTAATTTAATGGACGAAGTTAAAAACTGTCAGAATTAGATTGGTAAGAAAAAATTTGGGAACCCCAGGAAGAACATAACCTATTTGGGAGATGAATGGGGAGAATGCATGGTCACTTCCCAAGATCCAGAGAAGCAAAGTATGTTTCAACAATTACTAGTTTTGAGTCTGTGATTGCTACTGGTTAATTATGTTTCTTCTTTCACTTTAATTTTTCCCATTTTATTTGCAAATTGTTAATAGTGCCTGGCACAAAGTAGGCCTCAATAAATATTTATTGATAGACTGAATAAGTGGTGGTCAGTGTTTCTTTTCTATTTATAATTAAAAATACTTTATTTTGTTTTATTTTTCTTAATATTTTATTTTCTTAACATATATATAAACAGATATATGCTTTACTTGACAAATTCTATTTAATATTGTTGATTTTCCTCTGGATGCAAATCTTACGTACATCCCTACTATTGTGTTTGGGAAAATGTGAGGAACATATTTACCATCAACTTCTATTACTCATTCATATATCTACTAAAAGCAAGTCATTGTGCAGTGGCTTGTTTATACCACCTTCGTTATAATATCACTATTGGAAAGCAAGCCTATGTGGTTTTAAGAGAGAGATAGTGTTGTAGCAAATAGTTTAATCTAACTAAGTGACCTTACAAAAAAAGAGAAAATGTACAATAACAGTCAAGCTTGTAAAAAGGGCAAGCTGTATTCTAAAGCAACTCAGAAGTGATCCTAACATACCAACCACAATGAAGAGACTGTGTCATCATTGTAAGAGCATGCTACACAACTGATTTTAGAAGTACCTACTACTCTCTGTAGATTTATTGAAAAACACTTACAGCATGACTCCTCTTTCAAAAACGGCAAAACAAAAATAAACTGTTTTATCTCTGTCCATCTGTGTATCTATCTTTCAAGGTATCTATCTTTTTTTTTTCCCAATTTATGCTAAGGATCAGTTCCCACTGATGTAATTAAGCCATTTTTTTTCTTTAGTGATCTAGACCTTTTTAAGAAATGTCATATCTGGTTATCCTCAATAGAAAATAACCCATCAAAGTGACTATGGTGCAACCTTACGTCTTAAATATCAGCCCATGCCCCCTAACCAGTAGATATCAAATATCATTTAGACCAGTCATAGTATAAACTCTGTTAACAGAGCTTTACAAGTAGAATGCAAATGATGTGATTTAAACTATTTAAGAAACTTAAAATCCTATTTATATTTGTTTCTCGTAGTTTGTTACCCATATAAGGTTTTTAAACATAATATTTAAATATATGGATTGAGTATTTTGTAGTGATCTTATTGTATTTGAATCTTATTCAGTAGCACCCATAATATATTCTAATGAAGTCTTGTTTATTTGTTATCTTGTAAGGGCTGCATTATTATTATAGTTATCAAATGCACTTGAAATTAGCATACACATAGTAGGTATCAGTTGAAAATATCTATTCTCATTTTATAAAAAATTAAAAGGTACTCTTTAGATAAATAATGACTTATCTATGTTTCATGAGAATTTTGTAGGACAGGTTGTTTGTCACTAGTTTGACATTTTAAAAATATTTTCTTCTTTTCTTATTTATTGAGCTCTGTGCAAAATACAGTGCAAGGTGCTGAGAACATAAGATGAATAAGAATGCCTAAGCCTAGTGAAAGAGACTAATGCATAAGAAACGATTTTGGTATATCAAAGTTAAATGCCATATTTGGCTGAATGATTCTTACTAACAGTTTACCATGAGAGAGTTATGAACACTCCTCTTAAGTTCCCCAAATATTCTAATCATGACTATGTGTAACTAGTAATCAGTCATCATTCATTCTAATCACTGAACACTGAGCACCAAAGTAGTGATATTTACTTAACATAGATAATTTTGTTGAAAAAAATGTGCACTGTAGCATCACCATTACCAGTTCACAGATTTTGATATACAGACATACACACGTGAAAATGGTAAATACAGAGAACAGAGGAAAAAGATCACTGACCTCAAGGACCTCATAGTCTAATGGGAGAGCCAAATAGTTTCAGTTTGGCCACAGGGCAGTTGGCCCATGAAATAAAAGATGGTGTAGGGTGGAGAAGGGCATTAGAAACAGTGAGTGCAGCCTATACAAAGACATAAGGTTTAAGAAAGTCTAGGTTACTTCTATAAAGTTAGTGGCATATACAATATGCTCTCAATATAAGAAATAGAAATTCATAGAAAAATTAAAAGCAGCCAGGCACGGAGGCAACTCATACCTGTAATCCTAGCACTTTGGGAGGCCAAGGTGGGAGGATTGCTTGAGCTCAAGAGTTTGAGACCAGCCTGAGCAAGAGCAATACCACATCTCTACAAAAAAATAAAATAGAAAAATCAGCCAGGTGTGGTGCATGTGCCTGTAGTCCCAGACACTTGGGAGGCTGAGGTAGGAGGATCACTTAAGCCTAGGTGTTTGAGGTTGCAGTGAGCTGTGATGATGTCTCTGCACTCTAGCCCAGGCAACAGAGCAAGACTCTGTAGAGAAAGAAAGGAAGGAAGCAAGAAAGGAAAGAAAGAAAAGGAAAAATTGAAAGCAAATATTAAAATATTTAAAGAAAAATGAAGACTTTACATGATAAATGACTTTAATGGATGTCATAACTACATGATGATAGATAATGGTCACTTTTTATTTATGTTTTTATATTTTCCATATTTTAACATAATAAGCTTATATTTTAAAACAATGCAAACTAGTGTTTTTCTATTTTCTTCTTTTTAAAGTAAGCCAAAAATATATACACACACATACATACATACCAAGAAAGAAGAACCAGAAGGGAAAACACATGGAAATCTGAGAGACTATGATGGAAATGGACGAGGCTGACCTAAAGCATTCACATGGGAATAAAGAAGAGGGATTAGATTTTGGTGTTTAAGAGATTACTTGAGAAGTCTTTCTCATTGATTGAATGTAGGGTAAAAGGAAAGAGCTGGATTGCTGGGATTGCCTGGGTGATCAGTGAGTTTTCTTTGCACATGTTGAGTTTGTGCCCATCTGGCGGGCAATTGCATAGATGGTTCTGGAGCTCTAGAGCAAGATCCAAACCAGAGGTTGAGGCTTAGAAATCCTGAAAAGAGCCACAGCGGTACATGAGGTCTTCTGGAGACAGTATGCATAGAGTCAGAAGAAAATTTTAGGTTTTATATGTTCATTTAAAATTTTCTTTCCCCAGAGGTCAGTATGATACTAAATCTAGTTTTGTTCAGTCTGGGACCTTGTCAATGTTAGTTAGAAAACCAAGGCTTCTGTGAGTTGGAAAGGAACCTGGAAACCCCAAGGTTTTCAATATCCCTGAAACATGTTCATGGAGGCAGCTGTAGTAAGCACATGAGCTGTTAAGAGTAGCAGTTAAGATCATGGGCTTTGTAGCCAGACTGCCTGGTTTCCAATCCTAGCTCCTGTGTGTCTTTGACCAAGTTACATGATCTCTCATTGCTTTAGTTTCTTTGTCTGGAAAATGGGGATAATAATAGGATGATAAGGAATAAAAGATTATAAATATGTAAAGCACTAAGTACATTGCCTGGCCCATAGAGAGCACAGCAAATGTTAATATTATTATTATGCTCTTTAAACACATCCAACTATAGAGAACTTAATATTGCATAACTCTGGTTGTTTGAGAAAAAATATTTTCAATAAAAATAACAGTTGTTGTCAGGGCTAGGATAGGAATTTAAAACTTTTTTTCATATATTAGAAGAGGAAGAATCACAATGTGTTTCATAGTATGTTCCTGAAATCTACCTGCCTGTAACCTCCTCTCATTGTTTCTTCTTAGTTCTATCACCTGTAACATCAAAGAAGAATTCCCTTGGCAGTGATAGTTCCTAAAAATTAACACAATATGTTAGTTGCTTTCCTTACATTATCTCATTTAATCTTCTGAACAGTCTTTCAAGAAAAATATTTTTATCCCTATTTTGAATGAGGGGCTACTAGGACTTAGAAAGGCTAATTTTCCAAACTTTCCAGGACTAGTAACTGGAAGTCTGGGGGATTCAGACCTAAAATGATTCAACTATATGCCCAAATACAAATCCAACACGGTCAGAATAGAATAATACTGACATTTCAGCAGGGTTGACAGTTACAAACTAAAGGTACTTTTTACAGTAAACGATGACTTTTTTAAGGTAGCTCTTCTTGGTAACAAGAGTGAATAAGATATTGTGAACAGTATGAAACATGATATCAGTAAAATATCTAAAATATTTTATTTCCTATTTTCTTCTTTTCAACAAATGCAAGTATTACATCCCATAGCAAATCCTACATTCTTAAAGTTTTCTCCCATGAGACCCTGTACTTTTTCTGCATTCTATAAGGCATATACCAATTGGTAGACTTTTACCTAAAATAACCTGAAATACTTCACGGGTAGAAGTTGTAAGAGGTTCAGAAAATACAGAGAGGGCTAGAGTCACATTTCTTGGTTATACTTCCTTCTGTTAGGGGGGTGCCTTACCTCAGTCCTTCCGGAAGGCACACTGTAATTGTTAAATGAACATGGAGAGGGATAAGCACTTACTGAGAGAGGAACTTGGCAAAGAGCTTTGGGTGGTGAAGCTAGGTTGATGACTGTTTATGTGGGAAAATATCATGCTCAGTGTTAGCCTTCCAGGCAGTACCAAAGTCAATGTGTGAAAAATACGGATTATAGTAAAAAGGAGTAGACTAATAAAACTACTAAAATGAGAGAAATAAACTTAAATTCTGGTCCCAATTCTGTCCATTATTAGCTATGTAATAGCACTTTATATCATTGCATACGTTATCTCATTTGGCATTTATAGCAATTATGTAGGGTTGGCTAGTAAGGAATCTTAAATCCAGAGATTGATCTTCAGACTAAGATTATTGTGATAGTGATTAGGGAACTGCTACTAAAATGTATGTCTTTTGGCTCCTGGTATAATATTATTACTATTGAAAAAAAGCAAAAGTTAGCATAAACAATGTTTCTTTTAGTTTCAGAGTCCACTAAATTATTGATACATGATAGTACAACTGTCTGTCAACCCAGGTAGGGAGGGCCCCATGTTTTAGAAGGTCCAATCTTGCCCCTTTCCAGAAATCCCCCTTACCTCACTGTGAGGAATCCAAGAGACCATGAGAATGTGCCCACTTGGAACCTATGCCCTCCTTCTAGACCATGCTCCAGGCACCTGGAATTCCCTGAACAAATAACCTTGAGCCTACTTTCAGGACCTAAGATGCAGGAGTCCTCTCCAGGTATGTCCTTCCAAGGTTGGAAAGCACCCTCAGTGTATGTATCTCTAGACCCAGTGCGAGGCCAAAGGGCAGCTGGTTAAAGGTGAGAGGGTAGCAGGGAATGAATGCAACATTCGTCTACAGCGTGCATGTTAAGCCCTTTATGCTGTGGGATGATAGGGAGTGAGAACAAAAGAACTGGCCATAAGTCAGCCACTGCCATTCTGGAAGAGCTCTGACTACCCAGGAGACAAAGAATTCTAAATTTGAACGCAGCTTTCCAGATGTTTATGGAGATACAATTCTCAAGATAGTAAGATACAGCATGTTTTATCTAACATTTATTGTCCATTTTATAACTTTTAAAATCTCATAACTTTATAATTCTTTATGTTAAATATTTAGATATACGTATATGTTAGGGCCTTCATGATATATCTGTATATCACCTATTTTGTGTGGGTACTCCATCACTGAGCATATAGCACTGAACAAGACAGACAGTACCTGTCCTGTTCTAATGGTATGGATTCCTGATCTCAAAGAGATCAGGAGGGGATACAGATGAACTATGAAAATAAAATGCAGTGTAAAAATGTGCAAAAGAAAAATGCAATGTAAGTACAGGGTGACATGGAAAATGGTAGAAAGGGAAGGAAAGCTTCCTGGAAGAGGAAGAAGGAAAAGGAGAATTCTCAAACTAGGAGTAGATTGTCTTTACCTAAAATATGTTATCTTCGGGAATCAAGTATTTTACTCCCCAACAAGGACAGCTAAACATTCTAATTTCTAAAAAACATTGAAATGGATGATAAACTTGGAGAACAAATTTGCATCATCAGCGGACACCAAATGAACTGTTTTTATTTATTAAAACACTGGTGTGCATACATGCTTACATTATATATCACATGATATATAATAAGCATAAGATACAAAAATATAGAATACTGAATTCAAACCAATCTTAACAATTAACCATTAAAATATAATGGGATCTTTAGTTACACTAGTGAAACCAGCAGGGGTTCTCAGATGTTGTAAATTAGTATGAACTGCATATACGTCCCCTTCCTCACTAGAGCTCTTGTTCGCACGTAGTTGCCGTCCTGGAAGAACTCTTCTACCATTAAGACCCCAAGGATTAAACTCAAAGGAAAAAAGTAAGACCCAAAGCTACACCATCAGCAAAATCCTCAGTCACCTAATCATTTCTTACTTTATGAAATAAAGAGGAAGATTATGATAGGACAGCAATGTGTTTCTGTTTGGGGCTGAGAGGAGTGTGATGAAGACCAGATAGCAGTTTAATATTGTAAATGCATTTTCCAATTTTTAACAAGTTCTAAATGGAATGGGATTTTCTTTTTTATTGAGGAAGAGACAATAAGTTTCTTTAGGCAGTAATCGTTTCTTTCCATATAGCTTTGTATATTAATATTTCTTCAAAAGCTGAAAGTCTTCTAGAAGGTTGAAATCCTTATAAAATATTTCAGAAATAACTGCCAGTCATCACCCTTCTTGTAGTACAAATCTTTGCTAAAACTGGGATGCAGTCTTCAGTCAGTCCTATTTTTGCCATAGTGGTTCTTGTCAGATACAGCAGTAACACTGTCGTCACTATGGTTTGCATGGGAATGATCTTCTAATGGTGGTGGTGGATTTGCCTTGATCTTTCCACATTCTCTTTCCCCTTGACCCTCTTTGTGACCAGGGTTTGCACCTGCCTGGGATTAGTGGTACAGTCAATAGACCATGGAATAGGAAACAGAACAGGAGTCCACTGACTTGCTTATAGGAAGATAGAAGTCATAACTGACTCCTAAACACGTCTTCAGGAAAACAAAAGCGGACTCAGACGATAAACATACTCTACCTGCCCGCTAGCTCCTCCCTATCCACCTCAAAGAGGTGCCTCTCTCTTTTCCCTCAATATTTGCCTGAAACATGTGTACCCTTGATTTTGTCTCTTTCCATTTTCTTGAGGACTCTATTCCATCAATTCCCACTCATGCCCTATCCATACAGTATTGTTTCTTTTACTTATCCCTTTCTAATATTTCTTTCCCTTCAGCCTAGAGCAGGAGTTGGAAGACTTTTCCTTTAAACGGTTAGATGGTAAATATTTTCAGCTTTGTGGGCCACATGGTCTCTGCCACACTATTCAACTCTGCCTGTAGCTACAAAGCAACCATAGACAATACATAAACGAATGGGTGTGACTGTGTTCTAGTACAACTTTATTTACAAAAGATGTCACACTGGATTTGGCCTGTTGGGTTTGGCATAATTTGCTGACCCCCACTCTAGGGTAATGATAAGGTTTTTCTCCATTATCTCTTAAAAAATTCCTTGCCCCATTTTTCTTTGCCCCTTAAACTCACCATTGCTTCTGACGTCACCCTCTACTGATCGTGCTCTCCCACAGGTCACCTCTAGCCTTGCCAAATGTCTGTTTTTTCTCCTAAATCCTACTTGACTTCTCTGATACAGGTGTTACAATTAAATACTCTTTCTTCGAAAATCCTTCCTCGCCTTTCTTGTAGCAGCATTTTCTCTCCCTCTCTGTTTTTTCTCTTTGTACTCTGTGAATAACCTCCCAATCCCCATTGCCTCTTCCTTAAATGTTGGGATAACCCAAGAGTTTCATTTTCATCTCATTCTACACACTTTCTCTTTGCTGTGTCTGCCATGACCATAGTCTCAGTGAATTCCCATATGCTCCAGACCTCTCTGTACAGCTTTAACTGCTCTCCCTTCCTGCCAGCAGCCAACCGATTGGTTGTGTAAGCTAAAGACGTTGGAGTAGTTCTTCAAGGAGAGACAAAGTGTAGCAGTTTGAGGTCACATGATCCAAGTTGCAATTCTGGCTCTGGGGTGGCTTTAGGAAAGTGCCTTAAATTTGTGGGACCTGTTTCATCATATATAAAGGAGGATAACAATCCTTCACTGGGCCTTTGGAGGATTAAATATAATATCCACCACAGTCTCTTTATTAACCCTTTGACAACTATCTCATAAATATTTCCACTTCTACAGTGATGTCCTGCGGGTGTCTCCCTTCCTTTCCTTCATTCCTCCAAACCCAATGGGTTAGCTCATCCTTTTGATTCTACCTCTAAAATCTTTTTAGATACTTTTTCCCCTCCTTTTGCTTAAGGTAAGGCCTTGCTTCTAGTCTTTTCCCCACTAATTTGTCCTGTATGTTTTTATTATTTATATATTGCTGAAGAACAGATCATAGCAGCACTTTATGTTGGCAGGAAGATAAGGTCCAAATATTCAAGTCACTTTGCAGTCTGCATTCAAGCTTCATATCTACCTTCCTCCCACCCCATGCATAGACATATCTTTCTGTCCCATATTCTAACCATATCATGCTACCCTGTTTCCAGAACCTGCCAGGCATAGGTGGCTTCATCTGTGCTTTTGACCAAGTTTTGCCTCAGGCAGGAAGCCTCCTCTCTGGCTATTCTGATTAGTGAGATTCTATTCAGCTTTCAAGATATACCTCAACTGTTAACTCCTCTATATAGCCATCTCTCCATACCAGATTTAGACCTAAATGTTTTCTTCACTAAATTTCCCCTAAAGATAGACTATAAGTTCCATCAGG